AGGTAGTATTTATAAAATAATAATAAAAAAAATAATTATGTTAGGTAACGTTAGTATTTTTTAGTAAAAAGGATAATAATTTTAATCATTTTACCAACTATTAGTTTTAATTGTATATTCATTTATTTTATGGTTAATAGTATTACTTGCAAATGTTAAAATTGAAACACCTAATTAATTGTTTTGTATCACTTGTACTCTATAATTGTATTATAGTATAATGGGGTATAAATGTATGTATATAACATTTTAACTAACTATTGAAAATAAATGTAAAAAATAAAGTATTTGAATTTTAACAAAAATGATACTTTTAAATGGATTTAGTAAATAATATCTCTTTTCAGCAAAAACAGATAATAAGTTCTACTTTGACTGTGGTTAGATATATTTTTATATAGTTTTAAAGAGTTTAAAGTTTAAATAGTTTAAAGAGTAGCCAATAAGTGTTTAATATTACATACTATAAATTTGTAAGAGAGTGTATGGTTATGTCCTTTTTACTTAATTTTATAAAAAAATTTACATTTACATTAAATGAGTTTTTATTTATGAATACTGTTGTAAATAACAATTAAAAAATTTCAAGTATTAAAACCAACATTTTCTGATCTCAATATAGCAGATTATATTTGACATCAAATTGTGTTAAATATTAAAATATTAATGAAAGTAAAATGATAAAAATATGTTTATGGACACTATGGATGAAATGTGTTTATGGACTCTATGGATAAAATATGTTTATGGATTTTATTAATTTTTTTTATCTATAATTTTAATTATTGAAGTCTGAATTATTGTGTACAAGATGTATAAGTAGGTACCCAATATTTAAAAATGTCTAATTAAATTTGTTTTATAAAGAGACTTTTTTTTTTTAGGTGGAAAAAATGGAACAGGCATTAAAAAAATCTGAAGAATGTCATTTCATAATACTACTATCCGATTACTATTGTATTTATTAGATAGTCTATTAATTAGTTTTTAAATTTTAAATGTATTTATAATTAATAAATCTATAAAGAAATGTTTTATTGATTGTATTATGAGGCAGAAATATAAATAATTGGTGTAACTATAAGAATTTATATCAAAATATTATAAATATACGTATTGGGAAATAATTTAAATCAACAACATTTTGTTTTAAATGGATCTGTAAATAATCCTATTTGTGAATATGGAAGTAGGAACGGAAATGTGAATGGACAAAAATGAATTTATAATATATATAAATATATATTTATAATAATATAATAATATATGGTATTTTATTTACACTTAACTATGACTTTCAAAGGGTCTAATGGGATGAGTGAAACAGAAAGTTTTAACTGGTAATATATCTTAGGGTATATTAGGGCACATGATAACCATACTCTAGACTGTTCTTTGACAACATTTTTCTTAGTAGACTATTAACTAATACTATAAACTATTCTTTTTTATTTCTTATAAACTTTAAAGTTCCGCAATAGTCTAGATGAATTCATTTCATATTCCCCAATTAAAAAAAAAATTATTAGCTGATGAGATTTTTAATGTTTATTGCTTATGAAGATCATAAATATTAGTTTAATCATTTTTTTTTTTTTTTTTTAAAGTATTTTATATCTTCGTACTTTATTTAATATAATTACTGTCTTGATATTATTTCTTTTAACTCATACTACTTAAATCTAAAATATATTTAAAGGGCATGGCCCATTAATTATCAAATAAAAAATTTATTTTTAATTTATATTTGATACATATAAAATAAAGATATTCTATTAAAAGCAGCAAACTAATAATTTATACATTATAGATAAGAACAACAAAAAATTAATTTTACATGCTTTCTTGTAAAGATATTACATGATTTTTTGTGTAAAATTTTTCTATCAGTTAAAAATAGTTATAATTGTCATAAAAATAATACAATGCAATACCAAAAAATTGCAATTTATAATGATATTGAAGCAATCAGTAAAAAAAAATGTTTTTTTTTTTTTAATTTTTTTTTATAGGATTCACCATACTCACAGTTGTTATATGACTTATATACCTACTAATATAAAGTGTTAAGCTTATAAAATATTGGTTCTATTATATGGTGTCCTTTATATACCGTTTCTACTATTCAAAGAATATTTTTTAATGTTGTATAATTAAATAACCTTAGTATTCAACTATATATACACAATTTAATTTGGTGATATGATGTAAGAGATACAAATATACAATTGTGACGTAACAGGAAGGATGAGCATTAAATCTGGACCCATTCATCTTGTAAATAATATCAAAATTCTTATATAAATTTGATATATCTTCTTTTTCTTCTTCTCCTTTGCCTTTCTCCCAGCTATATGGGGTCGACTACCTTTGTTCTAAACCTCTACTCGTATCAATATAAATTTGATAAATAATCAATTAAATTGTGTATTTTAAAAATGATTATTTTGAAATTGTTTTTATATAATACAATAATTTAAAATTACAATTGATTACAAAATAAATTTTATTTAAAATTAATTTAATTTACAATTATTTATATACTTTTTATATTTTTATTATTTTTATATAAATAACAACAATTAATGTATAATAAAGTTTTAATTTATTCCTTAATCATAGATAAGTAATTAAGTATATATTAAAAATTAAAACAAATTAACTATTGAATACCTCATATTATAGGCTCTATTATCAAATAAATCATTACCTACATAAGTAAAACTTGTAGTGATACTCAAATAAGATGTTATTGCTGATTCAATGATAATTTAATTTTATAAATTAAACAAATAAATTAATATTTAAACAATAAAATATTTGTAAATCAATATGTTATAATGTATAATATATATATATAGCAATCTTAAGCTTGAAAATATTGATAGAAAAACAAATAGAATTTAATAAAGACACATTTATAGAATTTATAGATCTGGAAAAGGATTTTGATAAGGTACCATGAAAAGAACTATTCTATATTTAGAAGGAATTGGAGCTGAATATTGAAATAGAAGGATAATATATAATTTATACAAAGACTAATCAGCTACAATAAAAGTAACAGACAAAAAAGAAATGTGGTTTTGGAGAAGGATGCTGAGAGTGAGTTGGATAGAGCATTGTAACAACGAAAATATACTCAGTGAAGTAGATGAACGAAGAGAGTTACTCAAAGTCATCAGAACTAGACGATAAAATATGATGGGTTATATATTGAGACCCGAAAATGAACTAACCATAGCATAATAGAAGGGATAATTTAAGTTTAAAGGAACCGAGGATGTCCGAGAACTTTATTTGTTAAATAAATGATCTCCGAGGCTGAACTAATAAGTTACACCGAACTGGAAAGGCTAGGTGAGAACATAGAAGAGTAGAGAATGAATATTCAATTGCAAAACCAACTTTAAGGGTTGAATACTAAAAAGAAGAAGAAAAATGTATTATAAAATCAATAGTAAAATCTGTTAATCATTTCAAAGGAGTATATATAGGCAACTTATATTGCATATTAATTAAAGTAAAGTATATATCATAGATATAGATACTATATCAATATCTATATCCAAAGAATATTATCTATGGTATATAGTATATGTGTATAATACTTGGTATATAGTTGATATCATTTTATATAATATATAATATATATATTCATATATGTTGCCTATATCAAACTCCTTGACATTTTACTGTTGTTTTTTTAATTTATTCGCTTGTTTAGTTGGAGTTTTAAAACTGATTGCTCTTAATTATTAATATTACTGTAACAGAAATTAATTTAGTTAAAATTATTAAGTATGGTAAAATATTATTAATCTTTTATGTTATTAAAAAAGGTATATATCTTAAAGTTCGTCATCAACTATCACATTACATAATCATCATACAAGCATGTGTTGTCTCCGTTTTATAAATGTGCAACTAAAAAAAACTAAAAATACTGTAAATTTTTCTAGAAATTAAAAAACCCGTAAAAACAGACAAAAAAATATAGGTTATGTTTTTCCCTGTATGTTTGATAAATGGTCAGTTTACTTTAATATTAAAGTTATTGTTATACAATATAACAGAAAACAGAAGTTTTTCCAAATGATTGGAATAAAGCCATAATAATCCCATTATATAAAAAAGGTGACAAACTCAACTGCAATAACTATAGGGGAATATCCTTACTGAACTCTGCATATAAAATATTTTCAAAGATTTTGCTAAAACGTCTTGAACCAATAGCCGAAAGATACATTGAAGAATACTAGTGTAGCTTTCGTAAGGGTAAGTCGACAATCGATCAGCTAGCAACAGTGGGGCAGTTAATAGAAAAAAAATGCGAATTTAGACAAAACATATGACAAGTGTTTGTCGATTTCAAAAAAGGGTACGATAGCATACACCGTGATAGTCTTTACAATATTATGCAAGAGTTTGGTTTCCCGAGAAAGCTCATCACTCTAACAAAAATGTGTATAAATGACACGAAATACCAAGTGAGAATAAACCAAACGCTGTCTAAGGAGTTTGAAGTCATAACTGGCTTGAAACAAAGGGACGCGCTCTCACCACGATTATTTAATATATCATTAGAGAAAATAATAAGTAATGTAAAAAATAACAACTTGGGAACCAATATTGGTGCCACACAAATTGATATACTAGGATTTGCTGACGATTTAAACTTAATTGGAGATAGTGTGGAAATAGTTGAGCAGAATACAAATATACTCATAGAAGGTGCTAAATCAGTCGGGTTAAAAATAAATCAAGACAAAACGAAAGTAATGAAATAACTTCCCAATGGGAAAGAAAACGTGGTTATCAATGACTATATCTTTGAGAAAGTTAAAGATTTTAAGTATCTTGGAACAACGATTACCAACAACAATGATTGGAGTACCGAAATCATAAGCCGTATACGCAAGGCAGAGAGGGCTTATTTCGCATTACATAAATTTTTTAAATCAAAATCATTTTCCAGAAGTACTAAAATCAGATTATACATGACCATAATAAGACCAATGGTAACTTATGGATGTGAAATATGGCCCACTACTATACAATTAGAAAAAAAGCTACTAGTTTTTGAATATAAAATACTGAGGAAGATTTGTGGTCCAATGTTTGATAGTGAGCTAAACAAATGGCGTAGAAGAAAAAATACTGAACTAGGAGAAACCACTGAAGTTTTATTATTAACAAGCCACATTAAGTGTCAAAGACTCAAATGGTTTGGTCATAATATGCGGAAAACAGAAACCCATAATACGAGAGCAGCCTTTGAATGGCAACAGACGGGGAAAAGACCAAGAGAAAGGTCTAGAAAGCGATGGGTGGATGGAATAAGGAAGGACTGGAAGTGACAAATTGGGAAGATAGAGTACAAGATCGTGACTATTGGAAGACGGTGACGATGGCGGCCAAAAATTTTAAAGAGTTGTAAAGCCAATAAATAAAGAAAGAAGTTATACAAAATTTGAACTGTTGAAAGCAAATTTTTTATACGCAAATTTTTATTCTGTCAATCGAATATTTCAGTTTTAAGTTTCCTTGTCATCATATTGGTCACTCACAAGATATACTTCTGCTCAAATGTTTTTGATGTTATATTTTTTTTTTTGTGAAAAAAATCTAGTATATTTCAACATTATTGGAATACATAAAATGTATTTTCTAAAACAGACATTATTATTAACTTATGTGTTGTATAATATAAAAATATTTTATATTATTTGAATTTGTTATGTAAGTATTTACTATATACAGTCATTTTAATTTTAAAAATCATGTAACTTATTTAATAAAATAGTGAAAAAACATTTTGTGTTAAATATGTGTTTTAATATTTAAAAAATCTTATTTAATTAAATTAAATAAACGAATATGTTGTAATACTCAGGAAATATTATTTATTAACACTATTTAAATGCCAAGTTTTATGTCTATAATGAATAATGTTGAATGTTGATGCGGTGTTATTAAAACACTATAGAAACTTAATCTAATCAAATTATTAATACCTATAAAAAGATTAATTTTTAAATAAATAATATAAATAAATAAATTAGAATTATATAATAATTTTATTCTTCTTCAGATTCTTCTTCTTCAGATTCATCTTCTTCTTCAGATTCTTGTCCTTCTGCTTGAGCCACATCTTGATGCTCAGAATCTGGTTCATCTTCGTCATCCTCTTCAACTACTTCTTGTATTTCGACTGTTGATTGAATATTATCCTCATTTTCAGATGTTATAGAGGTACTACTTGTAATGGTTGTAGTTTTTTTTATTGTACTTTGAAATATTGCTGTAGTTTTTACTCCGCCATCTTCTTCATTAATTATTTCAGTTGAGGTAGTCGTAGAAAATGATTCTTCAGTCGCAGCAGCATTTGTTTCTTGATCGTAAGATTCAACATCTTTAACTGGACATTCAATTGAATCTATTTGCTGTTCAGATTCTTCAACTTTATTCTTACTTGTAATTTCACTATCTTCTTGTAAGTTATTTTCAGTTTCTTCGACTTCTTTTTTTATTTTCAATTGAGTTTCTTCAGTTCTAGTATTTTTTACTTCTTCTTCTTCTTCTTCTTCTTCTTCAACTTCTAATCCAGCTGATTTCTCTTCAGTTGCTAACCTAGTTGCTTCCTCTTCAGCTTCTAACTTAGCTGCTTCCTCTTCAGCTGCTAACCTAGTTGCTTCCTCTTCAGCTGCTATCCTAGCAGCCTCCTCTTCAGCTATTTTCTTAGCAGCCTCCTCTTCAGCTGCTATCCTAGCAGCTTCCTCTTCAGCTGCTATCCTAGCAGCCTCTTCTTCAGCTGCTATCCTAGCAGCCTC